TGGTTGAAACGGTTCGGTTTGGCGTTGTCGCGGTATTGTCTGACGCGTAGTTTGGGCCTGGTATGGGCCTGTTGACGCCGTGGTCTGATATTTTGGTACCAGGCCTGTTACCGGCTGACTGATGACCGATGACCGGCCGGTGACCGATGACCCGATGACCGATGACCGGGCTGAGCTGGCGTTGTCTGGTACCGGCGCGGTATTGGATTTTGGCGCGGCGTTGTCGTCTGGTACGGCCTGGGCGCATTTTGGGCCTGGCCTGACGCCAGTCGCGGGCCTGGTGCCAGCGCAGGCCTGGTATGACTGACTGACTGACTACGGGCTGTTGAGCTGATGACTGACTGACTGACCGGTAGGCTGGGCTGGGCTGGCTGACTGGCTGACTGATGGGCTGGCTGAGCTGACTGGCTGACTGGGCTGGCTGGCTGGTGGCTGAACGGTGAACATTGGTGACTGAGCTGGCTGAGCTGACTGGTATGACGCGGTATGAGCTATTTTCGGTACCTGAGCGCCGTATTGACGCCGTGGTTTGACCTGGCCTGAAGCGCAGGCCTGGGCCGCGCAATGATCTGGCCTGGTATGACGCAGGCTGGTGCGGCTGAGCGCAGGCGCGCGGTACCGGTGGTACCGGCCTCGAGCTGGGCTGACTGGCTGTTGACTGACTGGCTGACTGACTGACTGACTGGCTGGGCTGACCGGGCTGGTATGATGACGCAGGCTGGTACCGGTGTTTTGACGCGGTACGGTACCGAATATTATGACGAACATGGGCGTTGATCTTGACTGGGCCTGAGCCTGGTACGGTATGACGCGTGTCATGAGCGCCGTGTTTGATACCGGTATGGCCGGGCCTGGTATGACGCCGTGTCTGGGCCTGGTACGTTGCCGGTACGGTATGACGCAATGATGCGGGCCTGACGCAGTCATGACCTGGGCACGAGCTGTTGACGCGGTGGTCTGACGCGTGGTTCGGTATGGCCTGGTGGTACGGTATGACGCAATGATGCGGTACCGGTACAGGCCTGGTACGGTACCGGTACCGGTATGACTGGTATGAGCTGGTATGACTGATGACTGGCTGTTGACTGACTGACTGACTGAGCTGACTGACTGGGCCTGACTGACTGACTGGGCTGACTGATGACTGGCTGGTATGAATTCGACGGTATGGTCACCGGTATGACGCAGGCGTTGTCTTGACGCAATGACCGGAAGGCCTGTTTCTGGTACGGTATGATCTGACCTGTGTTTGACCTGGGCCTGTTCGGCGGCGCAGCAGTCTGGCTGTTCGGCCTGTTATGACTGGCTGACTGACCGATGACCGATGACCGATGATGACCGATGATGACCGATGATGACCGCTGACTGGCGTCGTATCTGACTGGTGTGACCTGGCCCTTGGCGTTGTGATCTTCGGCTTTGGCCTGACGCCGGTATGAGCGCCTGAGCGCCGTGACTGTCTGTATCCTGTGTTTTGACCTGAGCGCAGTACGGGCCTGGCCTGACTGGCTGGCTGGCTGGGTGACTGAGGCTGAGGCTGACTGATGACTGACTGACTGACCCGAGCTGGCTGACTGATGACCGGGCCCTGACCCGGTGACTGAGCTGGCTGGCTGACTGACTGATGACTGAGCTGTCATGACTGACTGGCTGACTGGGTACCTGGTCACCGCGAACGAGGCCCGCAGGCGCCGGGCCAGGCCTGGCCTGAAGCCTGGGCATATTGTGACGCTGCCTTGACCGGTTTGACCCTGGTATGGGCCGTTTGCCGATGATTATGACGCATTGATTGATGACCGATGACTGGCTGACTGGCTGTTGCTGGACTGACTGACTGGCTGGCTGACTGGCTGGCTGACTGGCTGGCCTGAGCTGGTTGACTGACTGATAGCTGTTGACTGACTGATGCTGGTGTGATTTGACTGACTGCATGACTGGCTGACTGGCTGGCTGACTGGCCTGGTACTGTTGGCTGGTACGTTGATGCTGGCTGTTGACTGTGGCAGGCCTGGCAGCGGCGGGCTGATGGCCTGGCCTGTGCTGATGGCCTGGTACTGGTACCGGTACGTGAGGCGCAAACGGCCTGGTACCTGGCGTACTGGTGACTGACTGACTGGCCTGATGACGTGTTACAGTTGATGAACGGGCTGGCCTGGACCGGCTGACTGGTACTGAGCGCAGTGTCGGCCTGACGCATGTTTTGATATGACGCTGACCCTGGCTGCTGTAATCTGGCGCTGACTGGTTTGTCTGGAGCCGGTACGGCCTGGTACCGAGCGCTGATCTGCGCCTGGTTTGGTTTGAGGCCTGGCCTGGTATGACCTGGCCTGGGCGCGGTATGGTACCGACTGGCCTGACTGAGGCCTGGCCTGACGCCGGTATGGCCTGAGCGCGGTGGCCTGGCCTGGGCCTGATGACGCTGGCCTGGTAGGCCATTGACGCCTGGTACCGGCCTTGTACTGTTGACTGGCCTGGCCTGTTGGCTGACTGGACTGACTGGTATGACGCGGTACTATGACTGGCCGCAATTTGGCCTGAAACCGTGGTATGACTGACTGATTGACACCGATGACCGATGACCCGATGATGACCGGTGACGGCGGCTGACCCGATGATATATGATGACCCGATGATGACCCGATGACCGGTGACTGACCGATGACCCGATTGATGACCCGGATGACCGATGACCGATGACCCGATGACTGACCGGTGACCGGTGACTGGCGTTGTGTCTGGCCTGAGCGCAGCGATGACCTGGCCTGACCTGGCGTTGTGGCTGACTGGTATGACGCAGTGAGCCTGGCCTGATGACTGGCCTGTGTCTGACCTCGAATGACTGTTTGACCTGGCCTGGCCTGACTGCTGACTGGCTATTGACTGACTGAGCTGACTGGCTGACTGGCTAATGACTGACTGACTGACTGACTGACTGACTGGCTGACTGACTGGCTGACTGAGCTGACTGAACTGGCTGACTGGCTGACTGACTGGCTGTATGCTGGCTGACTGTTGTTGACTGGTGACGGCTGACATGACTGGCTGGCTGACTGACTGGCCTGACTGGCATGTTTGACTGAGCTGGCTATGGCTGACTGGCCTGGCTGACTGGCTGACTGACTGGCCTGGCCTGGCCTGACCTGTGTGACCTTCGGCCTGGTTTGGCCTGAGCCTGCCTGACCTGGCGGTGCAATGTCACCTGGCCTGGCCTGGTATGGCCTGTCGCGCTGGCTGACTGGCCTGGCCTGGCTGGCCTGAGCTGGCCTGGCTGGCCTGGCCTGGTACCTTGTTGTCTGGCCTGGCCTGTTACAATATGATCTGGCGTGCGTGATGTCTGGCCTGGCCTGGCCTGTTACTGAGCTGGCCTGACCTGGCCTGTATGCCTGACCTGTGTTTGTCACCGGGCTGGCTATGTGTTGGACTGGCCTGGCCTGACCGCCGAATGGCCTGGTAATCGGCCTGGCCTGGCCTGGCCTGGCCTGACGTCTGACTGGCTGACCCGATGACCGATAGTGGCGTGACCCGGCCTGACCCGATGACCGGCCATGATGACCCGAGCCTGACTGGCCTGACCTGATGACCGATGACCGGCCCGATGATGACCCGGTGACCCGATGACCGACCGATGACTCAGGCTGGCGTTGTGTCTGGCCTGGCTGAGCCTTATGGCCTGAAGTGACCTGGCCTGAAGCCACCTGGCGTTGTGTCTGGCCTGGCCTGGCCTGGCCTGGCTGGCCTGGCCCTGGCCTGTGGCCGATGTGACGACCAGTGTATTGGCCTGGCTGACTGGCACCTGGCCTGGCCTGGCTGTGTCTGGCTGGCTGACTGGCTGACTGGCTGACTGACCTGAAGCTGGCTGACTGGCTGGCTGACTGGCTGGCTGGCTGACTGACTGCTGACTGGCTGACTGGCTGGCTGACTGACTGGCTGGCTGGCTGAGCTGACTGACTGGCTGGCTGGCTGGCCTGGCTGACTGGGACTGACGGTGACTGACTGGCTGGCTGACTGGCTGACTGGCCTGGCCTGGCCTGTTTCTGGCACTGGCCTGGCCTGGCCTGGCCTGCCTGTGACGCAGCCATGTGTTGGCCTGGCCTGGCCTGGCCTGGCCGCTGGCCTGAAGCCTGGCCTGGCCTGGCCTGAAGCCTGACCGGCTGGCCTGGCCTGGCCTGGCCTGGCCTGACCTGGCTGGCCTGGCCTGAGCCTGGCTGACTGGCTGACTGGCTGGCTGGCTGGCTGGCTGGCTGGCTGGCTGGCTGGCCTGGCTGGCTGGCCTGGCCTGGCCTGGCCTGGCCTGGCCTGTGTTTGGCCTGGCGATGACCGGCCTGACGCCATGTCTGTGCCTGGCCTGGCCTGTGTCTGACCTGGCCTGGCCTGGCCTGGCCTGGCCTGTGTCTGGCTGCGCATGTTGTGCCTGGCCTGGCTGGCGGCCTGAAGCCTGGCCTGTGTCTGGCCTGGTCCGCGGTGTTTGGCCTGGCCTGGCCTGTAATCTGGCCTGGCCTGTCTGGCCTGGCCTGGCCTGACTGGCGGTGACGTGACTGGCCTTGTGGTGGCCTGGCCTGGCCTGGCCTGGCCTGGCGTGGCCTGGCCTGGCCTGGCCTGGCCTGTAATCTGGCCTGGCCTGGCCTGGCCTGGCCTGGCCTGGCCTGGCCTGGCCTGGCCTGGCCTGGCCTGGCTGGCTGGCTGGCTGGCTGGCTGGCCTGGCTGGCTGGCTGGCTGACTGGCTGTGTCTGGCTGACTGGCTGACTGGCTGGCCTGGCCTGGCTGGCCTGGCCTGGCCTGTATCTGGCCTGGCCTGGCATTGTGTCTGGCCTGGCCTGGCCTGGCCTGGCCTGGCCTGGCCTGGCCTGGCCTGAGCCATGTCTCCTGACCTATGTTTGGCCTGGCCTGGCCTGGCAGCGCTGACCTGTGTCTGGCCTGGCCTGGCCTGGCCTGGCCTGATAGCCGACTGAGCCGGCCTGCCCGATGACCCGGCCGGCCCGATGACCGAGCTGACCCGATGACCGGCCATTGACCCGATGCCGGCCGGCTGGCGGCTGACCGGCTGGCATTGTGTCTGGCCTGGCCTGTGTGGCGGCCTGAAAGCCTGGCCTGGCATTGTGTCTGGCCTGGCCTGGCCTGGCCTGGCCTGGCCTGGCCTGTGTCTGGCCTGTGTTTGGCCTGGCCTGGCCTGGCCTGGCCTGGCTGGCTGGCTGGTGGCTGGAAGCTGGCTGGCTGGCTGGCTGGCTGGCTGGCTGGCTGGCTGGCTGGCTGGCTGGCTGGCTGGCTGGCAGCTGGCTGGCTGGCTGGCTGGCTGGACTGGCTGGCTGGCTGGCTGGCCTGTGGCTGACTGGCCTGGCCTGGCCTGGCCTGTGGTCACGGCCTGGCTGGCACTGGTTTGGCCTGGCCTGGCTTCGGCTGAAGCCTGGCCTGGCTGGCCTGGCTGGCTGGCTGGCTGGCAACTGGCTGGCTGGCTGGCCTGGCCTGGCTGGCTAACTGGCTGGCTGGCTGACTGGCTTCGGCTGGCTGGCTGGCTGGCTGGCTGGCTGGCTGACTGGCTGGCTGGCTGGCTGGCCCCAGCTGGCTGGCAGCCTGGCCTGGCCTGGCCTGGCCTGTGTTTGGCCCTGGCCTGGCCTGGCCTGGCCTTGTGTCTGGCCTGGCCTGGCGATTGTGTCTGGCCTGGCCTGGCCTGGCCTGGCCTGTGGCCTGTCTGGCCTGGTTTGGCCTGGCCTGGCGGCCTGGCCTGGCCTGTGGTCTGGCCTGGCTTGCGGCCTGGCCTGGCCTGGCCTGTGTCTGGCCTGGCGCTGTCTGGCCTGGCTGGCCTGGCCTTGTTGGTCTACCTGGCCTGTGTTTTGGCCTGGCCTGGCCTGGCCTGGCGTGACCTGCGCTGGCCTGGCCTGGCCTGGCCTGGCTGCTGGCTGGCTGGCCTGGAGCCTGGCCTGGCCTGGCCCTGGCCTGGCCTGGCTGGCTGCTGGCCTGGCCTGGCCTGGCCTGGCCTGGCCAGCCTGTTCGGCACTGACGCCTGTGTCTGGCCTGGCCTGAGCCTGGCCTGGCCTGGCTGGCATTTTCGGCTGACGGCCCGGCGGCCCGGCCCGGCCAGGCCGTGACCGATGCCCGGCCGGCCCGGCCCGGACCGGCCCGTGACCCGGCCCGATGACCCGGCCCGGACCCGGCCCGGCCCGGCCCGGCCCGGCCCGGCCGGTGAGACCGGCCCGGTACCGGCGGTGGCTGGCGGTGGCATTGTGTCTGGCCTGGCCTGTATGTGGCCGGCCTGGCCTGGCCTGGCGTCTGGCCTGGCCTGGCCTGGCTTGGCCTGGCAGCTGGCCTGTTGACTGTGGCTGACTGCGGCCTGATGTTTGGCCTGGCCTGGCCTGGACCTGGCCTGGCCTGGCTGGCCTGGCTGGCTGGCTGGCTGGCTGGCTGACTGGCTGACTGGCTGACTGGCTGACTGGCTGGCTGGCTGGCTGACGGCTGACTGGCTGGCTGGCTGACTGGCTGGTGACTGGTGGCTGGGCTGTTGTTTGTGGCCTGACGCCTGGCTGACGCCTGTTTGACGCGGTAACGCTGCGCAGGCTTGTTTTGTGACATGTTTGACTGGCTGGTACCATTATGACCGGCGCAACCGCTCGGCCGGTATGGCCTGGGCTGCTGGTACCGGTGGCCGGTATGACGCAGGCCTGGCGCTGGCGCAGGTACCGTTGGCCTGGTACCGAGCGCGATGTGTCTGGTACTGATACGGTACCGGGCGCGGTATGACGCGGTACCGGTATGACGCAGGACCTGGCCGGTGACCCGGCCTGGCGCAGTGATCTGGGCCTGGTCTGTACTGGCCTGGTATGACGTTGTGATGACGCAGGTGACCGGCGCGGTACGGTAGGTACTGACTGACGGTGACCAACATGCCTGGACTGACTGATGACCCGATGACCCGACCTGATGATGACCGATGACCGATGACCCGGACCCGATGACCGGATGATGACCGATGACCGATGATGGCCGGTGATGACCCGGTGACCCGGGCCGATGATGACCGATATGACGTTGTGATCTGGTGACCGGTGATTTTGGCCTGGCCTGGCGCGGTAGTCGGCCTGGTACCGACTGGCGTGGCTTGACCGCCTGGTACGGTGCTGGCCTATTGATGACCTGACGCCTTTTCGGCTGGCTGAGCTGACTGGCTGACTGACTGGCTGACTGACTGGCTGACTGACTGACTGACTGGCTGACTGACTGACTGTTTTGACTGACTGACTGACTTGGCTGACTGACTGACTGACTGGCTGACTGACTGGCTGGCTGGTACGGTGGCTGAGCTGGCTGATGACTGACTGGTTGGCCTGTACCTGATGAGGCGCCTGACCTGGCCTGGTATGAGCCTGGCCTGGCCTGAGCCTTATGACGCGTGTTTGGCCTGTTACCTGGCCTGAGCGCCTGGCCGCCTGTAATTGTATTCTGGCCTGGCCTGGCCTGGCCTGACACTGGCCTGGCAGGCCTGGTACGCAGGCTGGCCTGGCCTGGCTGACTGACTGAGCTGACTGACTGGCTGGCTGACTGACTGGCTGACTGACTGACTGGCTGGCTGTTGAGCTGGCCTGTTCGGTATGGCCTGACCTGGCCTGTGGTTTGGCCGCAGGCCTGCGTTGTCGGTCTGTGTCTGGCCTGACGGGCGTGTCTGACGCCAGGCCTGTGCCTGGCCTGGCCTGAGCCTGTTGACTGACCATGTTTGATGCCTGACCTGATGACCTGGCCTGACGCAGTAGTCGCTGGCCTGTCGCGGGCGTTCGGTATGGCCTGAGCCTGTAATCTGGCCTGACCTGTCTGGACCTGGCCTGGCCTGACCTTGGTGTCTGACGCAATGTTTGGCCTGGTACCTGGCCTGGCCTGGCGTGGGCCTGGCCTGCCTTAGCCTATTTTGACGCAGTGATCTGGCCTGGCCTGATTATCGGCCTGGCCTGAGCCTGGCCTGGCCTGGCCTGGCCTGATTACTGGCCTGGCCTGACTGACTGACTGACTGACTGACTGGCTGGCTGGCTGGCTGACTGACTGACTGAGCTGACTGGCCTGAGCTGAGCTGACGCAGTGTCTGAGCGCTGGCCTGGCGTGTAATCTGGCCTGGCATGATCACCGGCTGGCCTGGTATGACCTGGCCTGGCCTGGTACCGGCCTGACCTGTGGCCTGTAATCTGGCCTGTGTTATGACCTGACGCAATGTCTGGCCTGGCCTGGCTGTGGCCTGACCTGGCCTGCCTGGCTGACTGACTGACTGATGACCGATGACCGACCGATGACCCGATGACCCGGTGATGACCGGATTGACTGACTGGGCGTTCTGGTCTGAAGCCTGTGGTGACTGGCCTGGCCTGGCGTTGTGTCTGGCCTGGCCTGGCCTGTACGGGCCTGGCCTGGCCTGTAATCTGACCTGTGATTTTGACCTGACCTGGCCTGGCCTGGCCTGGCCTGGCTGGCTGGCTGGCGGTGACTGCTGGCTGACTGGCTGGCTGACTGGCTGACTGGCTGGCTGACTGACTGGCTGACTGACTGGCTGGCTGGCTGACTGAGCTGGCTGGCTGACTGACTGGCTGACTGGCTGGCTGGCTGGCTGAGCGCGAACCTGAGCCTGGCCTGGCCTGTAATCTGGCACTGTGTTTGGCCTGGCCTGGCCTGGCCTGGCCTGGCCTGGCTGGCTGGCTGACTGACTGGCTGGCTGGCTGACTGACTGACTGGCTGGCTGACTGGCTGACTGGCTGGCTGGCTGACTGGCTGACTGACTGACTGACTGGCTGACTGACTGGCTGACTGGCTGGCGCTGGCCTGGCCTGGCCTGGCATGTTTGACCTGGCCTGGCCTGAGCCTGAGCAGGTAATCTGGCCTGGCCTGGCGTTGTGTCTGGCCTGGCCTGGCCTGGCTGGCTGGCCTGACTGCAATGTCTGACCTGTGTTTGGCCTGGCTGGTGACCTGGCCTGGCCTGTTGTCTGGCCTGGCGCGATTTTGGCCTGGCCTGGCGCCTGTCTGGCCTGACCTGTCCTGGCCTGGCCTGGCCTGACCTTGTCTGACGCATGTGTACGGCCTGGCCTGGCCTGACCTGGCGTGGCCTGGCCTGGCCTGCCTGACCTGACGCAATCTGGCCTGGCCTGGCCTGGCCTGGCCTGGCCTGGCCTGCCTGGCCTGGCCTGGCCTGGCCTGAACCTGGCCTGGCCTGGCCTGGCCTGGCCTGGCGCTGGCCTGGCCTGGCCTGACGGCGCCTGACCTGGCTGGCCTGGCCTGGCCTGGCCTGGCCTGACTGACTGGACTGGCTGAGCTGACCCGATGACCGATGACCGGATGACCGATGTGATGACCGATGACCAGGATGACCGGACCCGATGACCCGGATGACCGATGACCCGATGACCCGATGACCGGCCGATTGACCGATGACTGACGGCTGACTGGCGTGTGCTGGCCTGGCCTGTACCTAATGAGCCTGGCCTGGCCTGGCGTTGTGTCTGGCCTGGCCTGGCCTGGCCTGGCCTGGCCTGACGCTGTAATCTGACGCATGTTTGGCCTGGCCTGGCCTGGCCTGGCCTGGACTGGCTGGCTGACTGGCTGGCTGGCTGGCTGGCTGACTGGCTGGCTGACTGACTGGCTGGCTGGCTGGCTGGCTGACTGGCTGGCTGGCTGGCTGGCTGGCTGGCTGGCTGGCTGGTTAGCTGGCTGGCTGACTGGACTGACTGGCTGGCCTGGCTGGCCTGTTTTCTGGCCTGGCCTGGCCTGGCTGGCCTGGCTGTATGCTGGCCTGTAATGACCTGGCCTGGCCTGGCCTGGCCTGGCCTGCGCTATGTCTGGCCTGGCCTGGCCTGGCCTGGCCTGGCCTGGCCTGGCCTGGCCTGGCCTGGCCTGGCCTGGCCTGGTCTGGCCTGGCCTGGCTGTGTCTGGCCTGGCCTGGCCTGGCCTGGCCTGGCCTGGCCTGGCCTGGCCTAATGGCTGGCCATGTTTGGCCTGGCCTGGCCTGTACGGCGCCTGGCGCATGTCTGGCCTGGCCTGGCCTGGCCTGGCCTGAGCTGGCCTGGCCTGACTGCCGATGACCGGCCTGATGACCGATGACCTGGCCGATGACTGACCGATGACCCGGTGATGACCGATGACCCGGCCGGCCGATGACCCGATGACCGGCCGATGACCCGATGACCCGGCTGGCATTGTGTCTGGCCTGGCCTGGCGTGGCTGGCCTGGCCTGGCCTGGTGTCTGGCCTGGCCCTGGCCTGGCCTGGCCTGGCTGGCCAATGATCTGACGCATGTGTCTGGCCTGGCCTGGCCTGGCCTGGCCTGGCCTGGCTGGCTGGCTGGCTGGCTGGCTGGCTGGCTGGCTGGCTGGCTGGCTGGCTGGCTGGCTGGCTGGCTGGCTGGCTGGCTGGCTGGCTGGCTGGCTGGCTGGCTGGCCTGGCGCTGGCCCTGGCCTGGCCTGGCCTGGCCTATGTCTGGCCTGTGTTTGGCCTGGCCTGGCCTGGCCTGGCCTGGCCTGGCTGGCTGGCTGGCTGGCTGGCATTGTGTCTGGCCTGGCCTGCATGTGTTGCCTGGCCTGGCCTGGCATTGTGTCTGGCCTGGCCTGGCCTGGCCTGGCGCTGGCACTGTGTTTGGCCTGGCCTGGCCTGGCCTGGCCTGACGCTATGTCTGGCCTGTGTTTGGCCTGGCCTGGCCTGGCCTGGCCTGGCCTGGCCTGGCCTGGCCTGTCAGCCTTGGCCTGTGACTGGCCTGGCCTGGCCTGGCCTGGCCTGGCCTGGCCTGGCCTGGCCTGGCGGCGCACAGGCTGGCCTGGCCTGGCCTGGCCTGGCCTGGCCTGGCCTGGCCTGGCCTGGCTGGCGCTGGCGCTGGCTGGCTGTCTGGCTGGCTGGCTGGCTGGCTGGCTGGCTGGCTGGCTGGCTGGCCTGGCTGCTGGCACGCTGGCCTGGCCTGACACAGCGTGTCTGGCGCATGTTTGGCCTGGCCTGGCCTGGCGGCGCTGGCCTGTGCACCTGGTCTGGCCTGGCCTGGCTGGCCTGACTGACTGGCTGGCCGATCTGGCTGGCCGGCCTGGCCGGCCGGCCGGCTGACTGACTGGCCGGGCGGGCCGGTGACCCGGTGGACCCGACCGGCCGACCGGCCGGCCGGCCGGCCGGTGACTGGCTGGCTGGCTGGCTGTGCTGGCCTGTGCCTGTAGTGGCGACCTGGCCTGGCCTGGCGTTGTGTCTGGCCTGGCTGGCCTGGCCCGGCCTGGCCTGGCCTATGTCTGGCCTGTGTTTTGGCCTGGCCTGACCTGGCCTGGCTGGCTGGCTGGCTGACTGGCTGGCTGGCTGGCTGACTGGCTGGCTGGCTGGCTGGCTGGCTGGCTGGCTGGCTGGCTGGCTGGCTGGCTGGCTGGCTGGCTGGCTGGCTGGCTGGCTGGCTGGCTGGCTGGCTGGCTGGCTGGCTGGCCTGAACCTGTACTGAGCCGGCACAGGCCTGGCCTGTATGTCGGCCTGTGTTTGGCCTGGCCTGGCCTGGCCTGGCCTGGCTGGCCGGCTGGCGCTGGCTGGCGTTGTGCCTGGTACCTGTGTGTTGCTGGATGGCTGGCTGGCGTCTGGCCTGGCCTGCACCTGGCCTGGCCTGGCCTGGCCTGGCCTGGCCTGGCTGGTGACCTGAGCCTGGCCTGGCCTGGCCTGGCCTGTGTTTGGCCTGGCCTGGTACTGGCCTGGCAGGCCGGCTTGGCCTGGCCTGGCCTGTGGCCTGTGTTTGGCCTGGCCTGGCCTGGCCTGGCCTGGCCTGGCCTGGCCTGGCGGCACTGGCCTGGCCTGGCCTGGCTGGCTGGCCTGGCCTGGCCTGGCCTGGCCTGGCCTGGCCTGGCGCTGGCGCTGGCTGCGCGCTGGCTGGCTGTCTGGCTGACTGGGCTGACTGGCTGGCTGGCTGGCTGGCTGGCTGGCCTGGCCTGGCCTGGCCTGGCCTGGCCTGGCCTGGCCTGTATGGCCTGACGCATGTTTGGCCTGACGCTGGCCTGGCCTGGCGGCGCACCAGCGCCTGGCCTGGCTGGCCTGGCCTGGCCTGGCCTGGCTGGCCTGACCCGGTGGATGACCGATGGCCCGGTGACCGGCCCGATGACCCGATGACCGGATGACCGGACCGGCCGGCCGGCCCGATGACCGATGACCGATGACCGGTGAGCCGACTGACCAGGCCCGACCGACCCGATGACCGGCTGACTGGCGTGTGTCTGGCCTGAGCGCTGTGTGTGGCCTGGCCTGGCCTGGCGTGTCTGGCCTGGCCTGGCCTGGCCTGGCCTGGCCGCCAGCCTGTCTGGCGCGTGTTTTGCTGGCCTGGCCTGGCCTGGCCTGGCCTGGCTGAGCTGACTGGCTGGCTGACTGACTGGCTGGACTGGCTGACTGGCTGGACTGACTGGCTGACTGGCTGGCTGGCTGACTGACTGACTGACTGACTGACTGACTGGCTGACTGGCTGGCTGGCTGGAGCTGTTGGCTGGCCTGGCCTGGCCTGGCCTGTGTCTGGCCTGTGTCTGGCCTGGCCTGGCCTGG